GTTGCATGGAAAAACAATTAAATGGTATACTTGCTGTTTCTAACATTTAAGTTTGCTTTAATAGCCCTTTACATCATTATGATCAGTTCTGTGAGTGCATAAACATCTCTATCTCTTCAACATTTTCTTCTTGACAGGCTAGTTTTCTACCCACAGAGATATTGATGAGATACTCTTGTGCTTCAGATATGTGCGTTTTTCTGCATTTTCAAATAGGAACCACCATTATCTTTTTGCAAGCTGAATATTTTTTATACATCATTTACTAGTGACTAATGTGTGTTTCAGCCGTGGGCTCCAAGGACTGTCATTTGTCTTCCATAATGACCACAAGTTCTTAAACAATGCTGGCTGCAAAAGATGATCACCAAAGACTCTTAGTTACAACAAATGGAAACAGAGCAGAATGTATATTCACATTTTTCACTTTTGGAAACAAAAAAAAACACACCCCTTCTTTCTCTGGTGTGAAATGCAATATAAAGTAAAAGAAGGTTTTAAATAATGTAAAAATGTACAGTTTTTTAATTTATGTTTCTAAAGTCAGTTCATCATCTGGAAAAAGCCAGTAGCTTCAGTGAAAATCAAAAAAAGTCTACAGCAATAAACCTTTTAGTGTGCTGGCTGTCTGTGATTCTTACTGCCACTGAGTATTTTCTATATAAAGATTATAAGCAACAACATTTATACATATACTTAGGACAATGACACTGTGGTCATAGGATGCAAAATATTAACATTAAGCCAATGATTCCATATGAAAGCAAATTGCAGCAGTTTTCTGCAGCAAAATATGTATCCTTCTAAGTAGTCAGGTTAGCCATACAGCTTTTCAAAGCACTGCATTGCAGAAGCTTACCAAGGTTGTGTCAGAGCATGCAGTCATGTCTCCTGAATGGAAGTTAATGAGCAATGAAATCTTCTCTTGGGTTAAACATGAGGAAGAACAATGATATTACAGACAGGCCACACAAGCTGAATTTTGGGAACTCTTCTCAAGGTATGCCAGTCAGTATGCTCAAGAAATAAATTCTGAGCGGTTCCCTGGGAGGTAGGAAGCTACAAGGTCCCTACAAATATGCTTTATTTCCAACTGTTGTCTGAATCATTCCCAGTGACAATATGAGCTCATTTTTCACATGTTCCTAATGATTTCAAGTGCTCTATTTGGCCTTGATTTTCATGGGGAGGAAGCTCAGTGCTTGTTTGGATGTATTCTTACAAGTATTTCCTCTTCTACAGTTTTACTGGCAGCTCACCAAATAGTTTCCCTAGTGCCAAATAAGTTCCAGCTCTGCAACAATTTTTCCACATGCTTTGAGATGCTATAAAATAGCCTTATCTCCATTCTGTGTCTTTGGTTTGAGTTATTTTTCAGTATCTTTCCTCCTATTAATAAAAAGCAATGGAGAGATAAATGTCTATTTTACGCAATACACATCACTATGTATGTATATTGCTGCTTCCAACCATGCAGCCATCTTCTGCTGCATGCGGGCTCTATACAGCCTCTTCCTATAAACAGGCAATCCTACAGAAAGCATAAGGCCAGGGAATATTTCCTCAGCTGCATTGTCCAGGTGACAGAGAAGGCTGTCTGCAAGGAGACACCAGAGTCAAATCTAAACAGAAATCTCCTTACCTTCTTTGGAGACATTACCTTTACTAATGTTCACAGAAGTGCACCCCACTCAGGTGTATGTATAATCATTGGTATCAGATGATTACATTAATGGTGACACTTTACTCATGTAACCTTGGACAATACGTAGTTTCTGATTTCAAGTATCTTAGTTTGCTGTCTCACCAATTTCTAGCTTATTTCTGATGTCCCTAAATACTTGCCCTATCCACCTTTCCATACCTGTCTGTACAAGCCTGGCCATACTAGTGAAGGGTGTCTGATAAAGACTTTTTTCCTACATACATGGACACCTTTCGTTGCTTTTGTGTGCAGATGTCTACAGCAGTAGATTAAGATGAACATTTTCCAAGATGGTGAGTAATCCAGAATGATTTGTTTATGGGTTATATACCTACAATATCTTTGAGAGCTCAAAGAGATTGGATTTTGGGGGACTGAGAATTTGGAGACTGAAGACCATGGAAATTCAAAGTCCCTGAGGTAAACTTTTCCCACCTTTAAAAGTTACTAATTGAAAAATGTAATTGTAATGAGTCATGTTTTCACATTACCACTTGTGAGCATGTTTGCCCAGGTTTGTTCCTCCAAAATACAGTCACTGATAAAGATGGATTGCTTTTGACAAGGAACATCAGTCATTTTCAGAAATCTGACGAGGCAATTGTGTGCTAAGACACTTCTGCATGAGCCCAACAAATGCTGAGCTTGGAGAACAGCCTTGCCTGCATGTGTGTTTTGTAGAATCAGTAATGTGTACCTTGAGAGTATTTAATGCATAGTATCAACACTATTTATGGCATCTGGAGTTTTACATGGCTAAAATAATTACTGTGATAAATGCCAGCAATATTTTAAAATTAACATTGATTTTTCCTTTGATTTAGAAGCAGAAGACACTAAATTGGCAAAGATGGGATTGCAGTAAATTATTTTGTTATTTAGGGTAAGATTTTGCATAGCTGATGGACAGAGGTGTCTGTATTTTCATCCTGAAGTCAGCTGGTTTTATTGATTTGTGAAGTGGTAGATTGGCCACAGGATCAGGTCTGGTGAATGTTTTCCCCATTCACCTCCAAAGTGATTTCAGCTTCATATTTTCGCCCTGGTGTAGGAGCCAACAAGTCTTCTGTGCCTCAGGGCATGACCTGACATGTCATGCTTAGCCAACAGGTAAGTCCAACTTCATCTATTCCTCCTTTACTGTGGTAACATCACACAAACAGTATCAGCAAAGAGGCTCAAGAAGGGTCTCCAGCTTTCTTCAAACCACTTCCAAAGCACATGAGTGTAGGCCTAACTCTTGTCAAAAAAGATTTGTACCACCTGGAGGTCACCAAAGGATTAGTACAAGTCATGGGCAGCTTGGAAGCTATCACCACCATCAATAGAAGAGCAAAGCTGAACAACGGTCTCCAAAGGAGCAGGTTCAGACTCTGCTATGGACTGCTCTGGTGTCCCAACAGGTCATTTGCAGCCCAAGGAACTCTCTGCTGCTGTTAGTTCGTCTTGTTCCACAAACAACTACAAGCATTTAAACTCAGGAAAAAAAAATAATGGTTTCTTTCTTTTATGAAACACATGATCAGACCTGTATTTCATCCCTGCCCCTTCCTTCAGGATCACATAGCTGTAAACACTAGCTATTCCTTGCAATCAGTGAAGCATTACTAACATGTAAACTTCATTATAAAGCTAATACTGAATTAGATACACGAAGAATTTGTCCTCCCTGTAAATCAGTGAATAAAAGGAGCCCATCTTTCATAGGCATGTCAAAGAGCCACAGTTCATGTCTGGAGGAAATTACAGGACAGCTTTTACAGCAATTCAGGCAAGGGACCCCCAGTATGCAGATAAAATACAACACATCAATGTAACACTTCATCACAGCCTTGCTCAGTATTTTATTGCATGAATGGGGTGTGGGTAGCTATGGAAAGTTCTTCGGGTCCCACAGAGCCATCAAGAGACTGCAGATCTCCTGTGTGTTCCTACACAGGTTTCTTCAGCACATGGAGAAAGCAGGCTGCAAACAGCAGGAGAAGGAGATGGCACTTGTCATGTCCATCCTTTTAGACATTGAGTTATCCAGGTTATGGACCGTGCTCTTCACTCAGTCATGTACTCTGCCTCTGAGCCCTGCACACAGCCCCTGATATTGTTAACAAAGAGCTGTCTATGCTGTTTCAAACTGAGCAAAAGTTTTAGGCATTGAATGGAATCAGCAGATACCTGATATAATCATATATTCAGCTACAAGGTCTTCATTTAACCTGAACACAAACTGCAGGGCCTTTCCCTTTTCTCCTTAGGAATTACTCCTGTTTTGTATTCCAGAACACTTGTCACCCTGGTGAATATTAATTAAAAGTTGTAATTAATTAAAATGTCAATTAATTCCTTTCTTTTATTCTTCAGGGTAATCTCATATTCTATGCAAGAGAGAGAAGCGAGTTTACCAGAATGAAACAAAAAAATCTCAGTGTAAGTACTGCATGTGTGTGAAAGAACCGATTGCCTGGCCAGCGTTTGGTCAAGGGAGAGAAAGGGTTAGGGAGCACATTCATGAAGGCAGACAGACCAGCACATTGTAACAGTTTGGGGTCCACCTATGGCCAATTTATGAATTCCAGCTGTGATTTTATGAGCACTCTGTGCATTTACGAGTTGTGATGGTCGTTTGTTGTAGGCTCACAGCTTATGTTAAAGGGAGATGCGATTGCGCCTCAGTGGCAATCTCTGAAATAGGAGGTTGTCAGGACCATAAACAACGAGCAGCTGTGCTTTAGCAGAACAACATCTGTTTATAGCTCAGCAAAACTAGTTTTCTAAACCTAGATTCAGGGTAGAAACCAAGCAGGAAATCACCAGTTTGTTTGGTCACAATGACCACAAAGAAGGAAGCGGCGTGGAAGATGAAACTAGAGGGTTTTTTCAGTGGAGTTAAAAGCTTTTTGCCCCAATGCAAATGTGAATGTAGGATGAAACTGAAGAGTCGGCAGAAGTGCAGTAGTTACTATGACAAGCATGTGCAAAGGAGTTCATGTTGGGATAGCAAGAGCCTTGCTCTGTGGCATAGATTTATCCCAGGTGTTGCTGAAACAAAAAGAAGACATGTTGGCTTATTGTCACATGGAAATGTAAAAGAAGTGAACTTTCTATCCAGAATGTCATCATAGCAATAATTTTTTTTTTACTATAATATGGGAATTCTTACCAATCCCTTCCACAGACACTGAAACACTGCACATAATCTTTAACTTGGTTTGGAAGGAGAACACTAATCACAGCACTAGCTGTGGGAGTTTAATCATATAAGGATGAAAATAGCCATATGTGTAAAATCAACATATTGGCATGTTTACCTGGAATTGTTGATCTTCTACTCTGTTATTGTTTAATTTCCTTACAGAGTTCCTCAGAAACCATACTTATTGCGCTTTGCTTCCTCACCTTCCTCTCCAGAGGCAATTCTTTCCACATAAAAGCAAACAATAAGTTGCACAGCATCCTCACCAGACGTTATGAAACACTGCTTTGTATACCCTTCCTGTCAGCTCACACAGGTTATTCTGTTGAGAGACCTGGGTTGCTTTTAAAAATGTACATTTGCATTTAATAATAACTGAGTACAAAATACAGCGCAATATAAATACAGCCTTTCCTTCTCCTTTTTGTGTGTGTGTGTGTGTGTGTGTGTGTGTATTTCTCTGTAGTATTTTTCTAAACCAGTTGCATCATCACCACAGGCAGGATTTTTTTACCAAAGGAAGTCAGTAATGTGACTTCTATATTTGAACAAGTCACCTTGACTCTACAGGTACAGAACTACTTCCAAGGCATCATTGGTTCATGTCATCTCTTTTAGAAGGAGATGAACCATGGCCTTAAATATCTTCTTTCTGTTCACTGTACCAGCAGCCTTGCATGACCAGCTCCGAGGTATACAAGTCAGGCAGCAGGCATCTTTTTTTATTTTTTCTATTTTCTGTAAGTCTTTTTCAGACAGAACAAATCCAGGAAACCAGATTCACTTTTGCTTCTAATTTCACATCTGTAATCTCAGCTCCATAATGGTGGGTTTCCTATAACACAGGTGGGTAAAAATACATAATTCTTTTTCTTTCTGCTAGTCTTGGATTTTATTCCAAATTGCAGAGATAACAAATAATCTGAGATTTCTAAGGAGGTTTGCCAGATTGTACAAACTCTATGACATTTTGAAATTCAGACTGTCCAATGACATGGTTATAGGTAAGCACGCAGAAATCATGTGTTGGATTTGCCAATGTACAAATTCACTCAGGAGTTATATTCATCTGACAGAGAAACACAGAGGCATCATGATCTAGTCTCAAAGATCACCAGCTGGAATTCAGCCTGTGAGTCTCTTAGCAAGACCAGCTCTGCATGTTTCCAGATCATAAAGAGAGAAGACACTGTTCAAGGTGGGGACTTCAGAGTAAAGTTTCAAAGTCTGAGTTGGGAGCTCTACTCAGACCAGCACTGATGCTCAGAAAGAGGCATGTGGAACCAGACTACTTTAGATGGTTCTTCTGAGTTTGAGTTTTAGTGGCTGAGCACTATAAAATACTGTCTCTAAAGCTCTGGCTGGGATGTCAAAGGACAACATGACTTTGGATTTCATTAACTAACCCTGTGGATGGACTGGTGGATCCTTTCACATATACCCAAAGGCATTAATATACATCTCACATAGGAAGGAGATGGTATTTGCAGGGTATACCACAATTTACACCCATCTGCCTGAAAGATAGATCATGCCCAGGTAGCTGGAGATTACCGGAGTGTAGCTCAGGCAGTGTGTTGCTTTTGCTGTCATCTCCAAACAGTCCCTGTTCCCACAGGTTTCTTCCCTGCTCTTTTGAGACAATGCCCACATAACAGTGGCAAGCAAAGCATGAGGTGACTGTCTTGACAAGCCTCTTTAAATAAGGTCCATTTACCTTCCTTATTCTGAAAGGACCTGGACTACTTTGCTGCACAAACTTACAACACTATTTGTGCAAGCTTCTTCCTGAGATAGAAAAAAATGACTGTCTAACTGGGGAGGGCAGAGCAATGGATTTGCACACAGTATACTGGATAACATCCCAACATCTGCTGTCACAGATTTGCTGACAGCTGTTTCTGCAGAGTAGCTGGAAAATCTGATAATCCTAAACATGAAATTTCTTGTTATCTGCGCAAAGGCAAGTGCCAGCCTCTAATATGACTCTAAAGGACAATCTTCAAGTTTGAGTAAATGCTGCCAGCTACACCTGGGCATCTCTTCAGCATGTCCTCTGAGAACACACAGCTGGACACAGCTGGACCAGGGCTACCTCCCACAAGGTGACACATGAGGAGGTACTTTCGGTTCCCAAGGGGCATTTTTCATACAACCATGATTCAATTCTATTGGCAGATTCAGAGAAGGTCCACTTTGAACCCCTTTGCATGAGTGAAACCAGGAAGGACTCATGGCCAGTGTGAACTTCATAAAAGCTCTAAAGACTGTGGAAGAAGTACAAAAACTTTCCCTTCACTGTGTCCTGGTTAGCCTGAGTGGACAACAAGCCACAGCACTCCTGTGCTCTCTGCTTAATAAACCAGTGTCCTCTCAGCCTGCAAAGGATAGCAGTGTTTAGCACAAATCTACAGCTGGGTTTATTGTGCAATGAAGACCCACTGGTGCAGGCAATGAGAGGATGCATGTGAGCAGGGATGGAAAACAGATACAGGGCTGTGCGGAGACCACTGACTTCTGCTGTCCCCAGTCTAACAGAAATACACTCTTGGAATTTACCAGGGCAGTTGTACTATCAAACACTGATTTTCTAATAAGCCCGATCCTATGCTGAGACCTGGGTATAATATTTGGTGGCTATAACTTATTTTAACTTCAATGGTTAAGAATGAGAGCAGGCCAAAACTGTGAAGCCTTTCCCTTAATTACTTTTTGAAACCTGCTTTTACCATAAATGACACACAAACATGGATAATAGCAAGAGTCAATCCTAATAACAATAGTGCATTTTTGCAAATCACAATTATCTGCATGGCAGCCCACAATCAGAAAAGTGTGAAATCCTGAGTACATGCATTGCTTAAGAGGCCCGTTAAACACAATTCTCATTCTTGGTTTCACAGATTAGTGAGTAGCTGCTATGCCCAGATGCCATTTCACAGCCAGATAACACCAAGGGAGAAGCAGAAGTTCCTTCTGAGGTGGGTGGACTGGGCCTTGCCTGACAATTGGCATCATGTGTAATCCTTTAAAACACAAAAATCCTAAATAAAAAGTTTTACTCTCTGTGAAAAGCAGTATTAAAACTTAGCAGGCCCTGTTGAAGCGTGTCTGTCAGATGAGCAGACAAAGTGAATATTTCTGCTCTTGGTGCTTTGCTTGTTAAGGACACAGTTCTGTGGTGCTTCCTGTTTCCACATTGCTTTAGATTTTTGATTTGCCACTGGTGAATTATGGGGATATTTCCCCAAATGCAACTTTAGCAAACAGGTTAATGCTTCAGTCACATATGAGTTTGGTTTTAAAGACATGTTTTGTGTATTACAGATCCAATTTATGCTCCTTCACGACAACCTCTTGGATGGAGACTGCCAATGCCTGACAACTGGTGGATTTGTGTCCTAAAACTTCTTAGGTCTTTCCAAAAAGCCAAATTTGACCCTGCCTGACTACATCGTCAATAAAAACTGCTGTCCTTACAAAATTGAACATAAATCCAACTTATACAAAAGAGACACCAAACCTTGTATTTGGTTTCTCCAATATAAAAAACAGGTGCCGGTTTCAGAAGCTGAAATACATGTGGCTGATGTATTAAAGCCTACATTTCACAGATAAAAAAAGCAAGTGAATTAAAACTTTGGTCATTTCAGGTGCCTGGGTGTCTCTGTTATCTTTGCATATACAGACACACTCTTCACTCACTCCCTTTTCCAGCTCTACAGCCTTTGGGGGTTGTGAAATGTGGAATAAAGCAACTCACATAGGTGTCTACTTCAAAAAGCAGGGAACTGAAAAACAGAATGGAACTGCACTTCAGTAGATATATACAGAAATTATCACCACCCCCAACACACCTGAATATATCCCATTCATGTTTGTGCAGTGCCAACAGACCAACTCACAAGCTCCGTGTGGTTGCTACAAGAGAAGGTCCCAGCAAGTCTTTCCCACCAACAGCCTCTGGGTGCCCAACCATAGCTCAGAAATGAGGTTTAGCCTCCCAGCTAAGCCAAGCAGAAAGTCATTATATTGTTCTAAATTAAAAGAGAAATAACCTCAGTAAAAGGTATGGGGTGGGGAAATTGGAATCTTCGGAGTTTTGGCCGCCTGTGTAACTACAAGCCCAAATTTCAGAGCTCTGCGGTGATCTGCTAATTTTGCTGGGAAGCACATTGTGGTAGTAGTACTTCCATAAGCCACATAGGCAGTACAGGGATAACCAGGATGCCCTCTAGACAAATAACCATGTCCTTGTGCAGAGCTGGAAGGATCTTTCTCCTCATCCTAGGTCATTTCAGTCTTCTTGTCTTGAAAACAAGTCAAACAGCAACCAAGACAAAAACCCCACAACAAACCCAAGATTTATCCCTTGGCAGTGCCTCGGTAGGAGGTTGTCAACACTCCTTACCACAGAAATGTCTTTGTAGCTCTCAGAAACAAATGTCCTTTACATTCTTATGAAGTATTCCTGGTTTATGTATGATGTATTCAGACCAATCAATCTTCTATCTTGGGGGCCTGCTTGGAGACTTAGGGAGCTGGCATTGATTAAATGCCTATAATAGAGAGCATTAATTTACCCATCAGTGGAAAAATCACCATTGTAAATTGTCCCAGTCGGTTTGTATATCATCAAACGATATGAAGCATGTTCTGGATGTATGTACTGAACTGCACTCATACATAAAGCACATTCAGTTAACAGCACCACCTTGCTAACCAGCCATAGGCAAAAGGTCTGGTTTTGATTCTGCTGCCCTCTTTAGGATTTGTGCCTGGGACTCCCCAGTCTAATAAAATATGAAGTACAAGACCACTTAGTGTCTGAAGTCCCATAGGGAGCCTACAGCATCCTATGGGACTGGGAAAAAATTGGCATATTCCTTTCTTTTGCTCATCATGCTACACTGCTTCTAAACTAGCTGATTTTTTTTTTTTTTTTTTTTTTGCCATAAAGGGGAGAAAAATATCCTGTGTTTGTGGAAGTTCCGGAGGGTCCTTCATCTGTTGAGTTCATGATCCCAGCTGAAATATCATATATTATTCACATAAAGAGCACATAAAAAAGATCACAGTGCCCTAAGGGGAGGCAGGAACTAGTTTCTCTTGAAGAGTGGAGCAACATTAGCTTTGCACTGCCCTAATAAAAAATATTCAGACACAGACCATAGGCAGATACCTCAAGATGAGCTAGCCAGCCCCTCACTGTGGCTGCAGAGGACATGAGGGCAAGAAAGGAATGAGTTGAGTGAGGAATAACTGGTTTGGACAGAAGGAAAAGCAAGCAGTCCTATGTAAGCAATCTGGGTCAGAGAGGACAGAGATGTTAAAGAGCAGGTGTTGGGGGCAAGGTGGGGAAAATGGGTGAATCACACCTTTTTTCCTAACATCTCACTGAAAGGAGATTCTTCTTGTGAGCAAAATGGGCTGTTCCTGCCTCAGTATTTCCTTCACAAAAGCAATAACTAGAGATCATCAGTGCTTCTCTTTGCCGCCTGACAGCACACATGTGGTTTCTCCAAGTCTACCAGCTTAGTTCTATGTCCAGTTCCCACCCTCAGGCATGCAGGAGCTATGACAGCTTAAGGTTTGGGCATTGCAGAAGCAAAGCTACTTCACCCAGACCTCCCAAGGACTCACTTACTCAAACCTCCTGGCACGAGAGTCAGGATATGATCTTTCTAACTGTCAGCCCTGCAAAATTAATCAAAGAGATGGAAATCACCTCTGCCATTCATTACCACTGAAAAAGGTCCTGCCATCAGAACTGAGCTCCCAGTTTTGCTGCTGAGGCACAAGGCAGGGAGGTGACCCAGTTCACTCTTGCAGAGCAGACATGAGTGTTCCATGCAGTTGCTGCAAAAAGCTTGCACACATCAAACACCTCCACAGGCACACATCAGACACCTTCAACTTACCTGGGTCTGGTGGGACTGCCTGACTTATGCAGAAGATGTCAACCTTTCAGAGACTCAGATCAAGGTTTTGAAAAAGAGTTCATGGGTCCCTTTCTGGGTGACTAGTTGAGCTATTTTCAAAGGCTCATATCTTCACAAAGAACTTAAGAGTATTTAGTAGCTTCTGGAAAGCAAATCTTTTCAACAGCAGAGTAAACCTTTAGGTGGAAACACTACTAAGGTCCACCATGTAGATGCAGCTTGAGGCTGGAAGCTGTGGAACGTCATTAGTTGCTGGGAAGCAAAGTTGATGGTTTGGTCATAGTCCAGCACTGATGTGCACATAACAGCTTCCAGACTGGGGCTGGCCTAATCCCATCGGCTCTGAAATTTCAGCTGTCTGGATCCAGCTGGGGAGAAGCTGAATATCTGAAGCTTGTGGTGGGCAGTATCAGCTGTCAGGTTTCCACAAACCCAGCCCAAAATTTAAGTAGTCTAAGTGCCCACTTCACGCTAACTGCAGTCCTTGCACAAAGGGTTAATTTTATCTGCAGAACTCCATGCTACGCACAAGTAAATCCCAGTGCATTTTTACCAGCATGATTTACAAGATGGATTTAGAAAACTCTGTTCTCAGAAGTCTGTTCACAGGTGTCCTGGGTTCAGCAGTAGCAGTCATGTTTCTCCTCCTTGGTAGCTGGTGCAGTGCAGTGTTTTGACTTTCGGCTCGGGAACAGAGCTGATAGAGATGTTTTGGTTTGGCCAAGGACTTTGTGAGCCTCATGCTCTGCCAGGGAGGAGGGGAAGCTGAGAGGAAGCAGAGACAGGACACCTGACCCAAACTGACCAAAGAGGTATTCCATACCACAGCACGTCATGCCCAGGATGTAACTGGGAGTGAGCCGGAAGGGCTGGGAGACTGCAGGGTTGGAGGAGGTATCGGTCGGAGCTTGGTCGGGCTTGGGGGGCGAGTTATCGGTCAGCTGGTGCTGAGGTGTTGTATTCTGTCCCTTGTTATTTCCTTTATCATTATTATCATTGGTGGTAGCAGTAGTGATTTGTGTTATACCTTAGTGACTAAACTGTTCTTATCTCAACCCGTGGGAGTTGCATTCTTTTGATTCTCCTCTCCGTCCCTCCGAGAGCAGGGGGAGGGCAAGAAAGGGGGGGAAGTGAGCAAACGAATTACCTGACTGGGTTTAAACCACGACAGTTCTTTTTGGCGCCCAACGTGGGGCGCGAAGGGTTGAGATAACGACAGATCTGACTGGATTAATAGTCATTCGTCACAATGCTTATTTATTGGGTATCAGAGTTGTTCTTCTTGATCTCACAGCTTCAGACCGTTGTAACTTACGTAGAGCCGGTATTTGCTGTGATAGTGTTTATCAAGTGTGGGGCCTGGGCTAAGGTTCTTGTCTCACTGTGCTTTATGGCAATGGCTTGTAATACGGGCGGGCTCCAGCAGCAGGGCGGGACGGACGTGGCCGTGGACTTGTACCTGGCCGTCCGGCTGCTCTTCACCGTCCTGGCCCTCACCCTACTCTCCATCTTCGTAAGGCTGCGGGGAGCCGAGGGGGAGCGGTCCCGGGAGCCGGCGGCTGCTGAAGCCGCCCGGGAGAGCGGCCCCGGGGACCAAGCGGCGGCGGGAGCGGGGCCGGAGGCCGCCAGGGGACGGCTGCCGGTGGAGGAGGCCGGGGCGGTCGAGGAGCAGAAGGAAGCGGCTGCCGAGCAGCGGGATAAGGCGGCGGAGGAGCCGAGCCCCGCGGAAGAGCCGAGCCCCGCGGAGGAGCCCAGCCCCGCGGAGGAGCCGAGCCCCGCGGAGGAGCCCAGCCCCGCGGAGGAGCCCAGCCCCGCGGAGGAGCCCAGCCCCGCGACGGCCGAGAGCATTCCCCGGCAGCCACCCGCCGAGCCCCAGGAGGATGCAGGAGACCACGCAGCATTTCCCAGCAAGGCAGAGGAGGAAGAGCTGGACTCAGGAAAAGAGAAGCTGATGGTGGGAGAGCCGGCAAGCACAGCAGCTACACCAGCCCCAGTGACAAGTACAGCAGCATCGTTTGAGAGTTCTGAAGGCTCTGAATGGCCTTTGGGTATCCTTGGGACCTGCCTGCTGATTGTGATGGGGATCAGCATGTTGGCACACATAAGGAGTGTGTTCTACCCACAACCATTTTGTCTGATCTCAAAAGTTAAGCAGAGTCAGGTTTGGGTCTTGTCTGGGGTTAGACAACAATATAGGGGGACCAAGAGATTTTCCCCAAGGCTGGAGAGTCATGAGTGGCAGGGCGTGTGGGACAGTATGGGCAAGTATCTAGTCCACTGGGCCCCTCCAGTGCTTTGGAAGCATCGGAGATGGAAGGCGGCTGTATGGAGTCCCCAGCAACAAGCTGCAGAAACTGCTGAAGGGGACAGTGAATTATTTTAAGCCTGGTGGGCCCATGGCACTTCAGGCCATCAGAGCAGAGATGCAGCACAAAGATGGACTCATGATCGAGGGGTGGACTTAGCAATGGACACTATTGCCCAGGTTATTCACAAGTGTGAACACTGCACACAATCTCTCCTGCTCTGGAAGACTGTTACAAGAGATGAAGCCTGACATCATGGACCAGATGGACTCAGCAGCTTTATAGGGACTGGTCCATGCACTAAGATAAGAGTGCACCGAGATAAGAGTGATGGTATATTGAAAATGTGGGATCTGAGCATGATGTGAATGGTATGGAATAAGGGGTGGATAATGTCCTGGGTTCAGCAGTAGCAGTCATGTTTCTCCTCCTTGGTAGCTGGTGCAGTGCAGTGTTTTGACTTTCGGCTCGGGAACAGAGCTGATAGAGATGTTTTGGTTTGGCCAAGGACTTTGTGAGCCTCATGCTCTGCCAGGGAGGAGGGGAAGCTGAGAGGAAGCAGAGACAGGACACCTGACCCAAACTGACCAAAGAGGTATTCCATACCACAGCACGTCATGCCCAGGATGTAACTGGGAGTGAGCCGGAAGGGCTGGGAGACTGCAGGGTTGGAGGAGGTATCGGTCGGAGCTTGGTCGGGCTTGGGGGGCGAGTTATCGGTCAGCTGGTGCTGAGGTGTTGTATTCTGTCCCTTGTTATTTCCTTTATCATTATTATCATTGGTGGTAGCAGTAGTGATTTGTGTTATACCTTAGTGACTAAACTGTTCTTATCTCAACCCGTGGGAGTTGCATTCTTTTGATTCTCCTCTCCGTCCCTCCGAGAGCAGGGGGAGGGCAAGAAAGGGGGGGAAGTGAGCAAACGAATTACCTGACTGGGTTTAAACCACGACAGTTTAATGGAGCAAGAATATACGATTACAAGCAAGTTAATGGAGCAAGAATATACGATTACAGTCACCTCTCTATAGCATCCTCCTGACAGTTTCAGATCCAGATCTCTCCTGTGTTCTTTCAGGCTGTAGTCACACTTCCAGCTGTGGTGTGGAAATGTTTTTCCCTACAGGCTGAAGGGCTAAATGGGACAAAGATTTCTTCTTCAGCTTTCTATTAAAAGTCTGAGTCAGAAGCAGTAGCGGGAGGTCTGCATGAGTTTCCTCCATTCCTGTCACCCTTCTGAAATGGAACAAACAGAGCTCTTCTGTCTGTAAACTGCACAACGCTACCCAAAATGGAGAAATGAAGGTG